ATCAGAAAGTCCATTGCTTGAAGTAAAGGTTAGAAATGCCGTGATACTTCACATACAGGTAAACTAGTGATCCTATGCACTTTAGCATTCAAGTTTGTCTTCTGATGGTTAAAAAAAATAATTTCCTCATCTTTACTATGACTTTTTCCTGTAATTTCCCACAACTCTACCACTACTGGTAATACTGTGACATCTCAAACTTAATTAAAGGTGATCACCAGCCATTATTTTAACAACTGCCATTGAAAAGAGGTTGGATGGCTTCTGTCTGAAATGCTAATAACTGCCTGCAGTCTTGTCTGCTTTTGCCTTGCTCCCTCTGTTCATTTCAATAAGTCAGGGCAAGGAAAAACTGGGAATTTTAGCAGAAAAGTCTGCTCTGTAAGTACAATCTATACCATCCACCTTGCACTCTTACATCAGGCATGGGGTTACTTCTGGAAACAGGTAGCTGATCGATTCCTAAAGTTTTTTTAATCTTTTTACTATACTGGTACTAACAGTATTGTTATTGATAGTGGTAGTAATAATATTGCAATAGTGCATGCATTGAGCTTAGTGTTCTCTAAAGATTAAATGAGAAATAGCCGTTCCCATGAAGATCTTGTGATCCTCATGGTCTGGACTTACAAAGGACAGGAAATATTTCTTACATCCACTGTGAATCCTGTCTTCTAAGAAACATATGCACTTTATAATGCCAAAAAAAAAGCATAATTACACTCTTAATTGCACTGTAGTTGCATTTTTTTTCATAAAATTTCCACTAAACTATGTAACAAGGTACTTCGTGGACTAGCCAAAAGCAATTACAGTGTAAAATGACATAGTGACTATACCTGCATTTAAAAATATACAGTCAGCTCCTCAGCTGAGTTAAATCATTATCTTTCTGATGGTATCAGTCTGGTTCCTGTGCATTAAAAAGCAAATCACTGGAGCAATATCTCAATTATGTAGTTAACCTTCTGGTTATATTAATTAGTGATGATTAGGCATGGGAAACCATAATTATGTCAAATACATAACATCCCTTTGAAATCGCGTTGTGAATCAAACACAAGAAGACAGATGTGAACATCTAACCAGGTCCACTTCTGATGTCTGGAACAAATCTGAAACTCAATGACTTTACCCTCTATCTCCAATCTGAAACAGATCCAGTGGTGACAGCTCTGCAGTTTGTATGTGTGCCAGAAGAGAAATGCAAGGTAGAACTGTCCCATATTAGGATTTCACATGCTGGTTACCAAAACCTGACTTAAACAAAACAAAACAAAACAAAACCCAAAACAAAACCAAGCCAAGACAAACAAAACAGTTCCTAAAGAAGGAAGTCTCAAAATTAAAGAAGCACCTTTTCTCTAACTCACCACATTTATCCATTTGTCTGAGGTATGAACAGCTAAAAATCAGTACCTCTTACTCCCGTTTGCAGGAGATCCTGACAGCCAGAGCATTATTTGCACAGGACCTTTCTGAAGAGTTGCTCCTCACTGACTCCAAAACCACAGCGGTTGACATTGTACTTGGGAAACTTGTTTTCTGGAGGCAGCTGTCTAAGAAGACAGCTGTATAGGGAAGCAGGATTTAACACCACTGTCCTCATGCCTAACTTAAGACTGAAGTTTTTCACCTTCAAGGATAAAGAAGAGAAAAGCCCATCTGAGCCAACAGTGTATCAGAGATATGCTTTATCCCAGCAGACCATTCCCTCACAGCAGGACTAAATAATTAACGTGTAGGTAATTCAGTCCAAATTTAGAAAAATATTAAACATTTCTCTTTTATATAGGCTTCTATCAGCTACTGAAACCCACATAAGCTCTGCACTGCACTAGGAGTTATGGATCTAAAGATTTGTACAGCTTCAGGGTTACTCCTGTCATTCAGGTGGCAGCATCCTGCCATCTCTGCAGGATAAAGGACAAGTGCAGAAGAAAATCACAGCATTTCCATTAAAATTAATCCTTTGAAAAGTGAATGTCAGAAGAAACTGTATATTTTTACAAAACAAATATACATTAAGTGGACTTTTTGCAAATGTCAGGTTGAAGTGTTCCAAAGTCAGGAGCTGTCAGAATTGTACGCTGTGTAGCATTGCACCTGCAGGCATTTTATTGCTGTTAGTGCCCGCTTTTTTGGCTTCTTTTTATTTTTAATCTAAGTAACTTGATTTTGAAAGGCTGACTTGCAAATCTGGCATTTGTAATTCTGGGAAACCCCACTTTGGACACTTTTTCATCTATATTCACTCAATTATTATTTGATGTATAGTTTGCTTTCTGCTTTGCTAGCAGCAACGGATGCTGGCACAACATGGGTCACAGTTATGTGTTGACTCACAGGATTAAAAGTATTGGGGTCTTCAATGGACCTACTCCAAGGTAGGTAAATCAGGTTCGATAGAAAACCCTGCCCTGTGAAGACCCCAGCTCTGTGAAGCCCTGGGTATATGATCAGCAGAGCAAGTACTCACTAGCTGGCACTGTCATTTAGTGGACTTAAGGCACACAGAAATTTGCAGGATGTAACCTAGTATGACTTTGGTAAGTCTTTTAGTTCACCAAACTGTGAAATTGTTGCCTAATATTTACCAGCAGCAGTTCCCAGGCATTGCAAGCTGTTCTCTAATAATGTTTCCAATTTATTCTGAGATTCCTGAATGAAATTTCTGTAGAAGGATTACGTAAATGTTTTATTTTTTCAACCTGAATTTCATTCAATATAATGTTACAGAAGAACTCCTTGCAAATGTCTCACTTCAAGAGAGGTTGATTTTTTTTCCCTTTTCTTTCCTTTTGCTCTTGGCAGTGGCTGTGATAAGAATGACAGCACAAAACACAACGGCAAGTTATAAACTTTACTTTTCTTCAGACAGCAAAAAAACTCCCAGATTACCACCATCATAGATGCGAAACAGCCCCTCTGCTTTTAGGAACTCCCACTCTCGTCTCATCCCAGGGCTGCAGTTATGAGTGCAATTCCACTGCCCTTTCAATGGATGGTGATGATTTTTGGGGTCAGCCCAAAAATGGTCTTCGCCTGCTGCTTAGGGCTCCTTGGTAGTGACAAATCTGGGACCTGTCAAGCAAAGAGTATGAGCCACCCATACCTACAGCTACCTAAAAAGGAACACCAGCAGAAGAACGAACAATTGAGGGAAAGTGCTTTTTATCACTTCAGTGATTTTTGCCTTTACTTCAGGTTGCTGCACAAGCAAGGCAGTGCCATTTGACCCCACTCTTTGATATGCACCTTCTGACACCCAAGAAAAAGACTGCCATAATTTGACAAGTATGAGTATCCCCTTCCCCACTGTCACCCTTTTCTCCATTCTGCCACACAGATATCTTCTTCCTAAGCCCGCACCTCTTGCTGAGGTTGGGATCCATCCCTGTCACAACCTGGCACATTCTCTGCTCCTCATTGCTCCTCATTCCCTACCCCTCTCAGCACTTTCTTTCCATCTAGTCCTACTACAAGGCAGAGCTGAGCACACCACCTGAAAAGCTGGCACAGGGCAGACCATGCCAGGGACCATTTTCATGATTTAACAGTGCAGATGAGGCTTTGGCATGGCTTTCTTTATCAGTATTAATGAGGCTGAGCCTATAATGCAATTCCTTGGGGTCTTTTGCCTCACTCTTCTCTTTCCCCTTTGACATCTTGACGGTCCACTCCATTCCCCTCCTTCCCACCTCAGTCAGCTGCTCCACAGATGATGGGCACGGGGCTGAAAAGGCCACAGCTCGGCCCCCTTGGCTAGTGACATGGATGCATTATCAAGGGACAGGGACTGGGGGGATGCACACACCTACAGGAATTTTCTTGAGGGGAAGAGCAAGAAAATGTAGTTTTTTGGGAGTTTGAGGTTTTTAAGGAAAATGTAATACCCTTCACCAAACCTTGACTCTAGCTTGTGACTTTGCATATTAAATTATCTCTCACCATAGAACAGGACTTGGGCTTGAGTACTAGAAGCATGAATGGAATTTAACAAATTAACTGTAAAGACACAGAATTTTGTCCACAGATAATATTTCCTGCCATCAAAAAGCCAGTATGAAGGTTCTGGGTCTGGGCTGCCACTACTTGGGTTTTGCATCGAGACATCCCTGGGGTTCAGACTCGTGATACGGCAAAACTCTGACAAACTTGGATGTGATTGCACCAAACAATGCTGCCTCAGCAAGCTGTTTCAGGCACGTTTCCCTCTCCCTTTCCAACACATCTCACCAGCAAACTCATTAACCGCACAGATGCACTAAAACTGCTTGGGACCAAAATAAGAACAGAAGGAATTAAAACAATTCTGCTAAAAGAGCTGGGCTTCATGCATGTTATTCATCTGCACCTTTCCCTGCCCGGGTATCACACAAAGGAAATCTCTGCAGCCGATCTGGGACTTCACAAGCCGAGGGATTATGCACTACAGCTACTGACAGTCCCTTTCGCTCACAGCCTGGCAAACACCACAGCAGTAATCTCCTCTCCGAGATAAAGTCCATCAATCTTATTCTTATACCAACCTGTTCCCCTCTGCCCCTCAGACAAAGCTGGAAGAGCAGCCTTCCCCAGGAAGGATGTTAAAACCTTCCCTTCCTCGGCACCCTCCTATTTTAGCTTACTCTTTTGGCTGGCATCCCATCAAAGTCAGGTCAACACATATCCATTCTCTGTGCTGAGCTGACTAGTTTTCAATAACAAATTCTCCTTCTTTTGTAACAAAGATCAATAAAACTGCCCCTCTCTCATATTGGCCAAGGTTCCAGCAACGTCATTCACTCTTTATTGTTGCTACTGCTTTGTTTTGTTTCCCTTTTTCTTTTTTTCTTTTTTTTTTTCTTTTTTTTTGGCAAGGCACAGATCAATTTAACAAGATGAAAACAACTTAGACTTTCACTCAAGGTAAAATCTGCACTTTATAACCCAGGATGCAATTTACAATCCTGTCATTAAGCTCTGCTAATCCTATTATTATGAAGATAAATAATTACCCATAGCGAAGAAAGGGATTCCCAACAGAGTAGAATTATATTTTCCATCAGTAATGAAAAATATCCCTGCCGCAGTGACACTGGAAATACAGATAGTGAGTACTCCCAAGAGTCCCAGGAAAGGTTTGCTACGCAGGCAGTCCTTCATGGAGCTCGAGAGGGTAGCAGTCAGGAGAATCAGCATCAGGCTCACCAAAATCTTGCCCCTGGCCAAGAGACTGGTCTGGTGGAAGTCCTTCCAGAGGCTAAAGGACACTAGTGAGTAGAGCTGCAGATCTTGGTGATCCAGCTGCATCTTGTGCATCAGTTTACAGAATTCACTCTCCCACTTCTCCCCAATGAGGTCCTGGGTGACAGAGCCATACGTTTGGAGGTAGTAAGTGATTTGGATGGCTCTGGCTGATTTGACTCTCTGGTCCTTGCTGTTTGGTACTTCCATGACCCCTCCGAGCTGGTGGCCAATAAAACTGCTCCTTCCATCCTGGGAGGGAAAGTAAAAAAGATGAGCATGTGGTTATCCTGCGTAAGATGTGATACAGCGATACTGTTTGACTCTACCTCCCTTTCACAGACATGCCAAGACCTTGACTCAAAGGCCACTGCAGTCAACAGCGGTCACTCCGTTCACTTCAGTGGGCTTTGGGATGCATCCCTGTTCCCTGCCATGACTCTGCTCCTTACTCATTACAGACTCATTTGCCATTCTGTGCTGCAGTTCAGGGACTGCCCAGATACTCATTGCGGTCCCAAATATTCAAGGGTGGAAATGTAGCATGCAAGCTCCTCGCCCCGCAGGAGAGGATGGCTTTCCCACATTTTAACTGTGACAGATAATAGCAAGCCTCCAATGACTGAAGTATGAAATGTTTGAGATGAAGATCAATTTCCGGAAGATTTGTGATTTCCTGATACTTTGGAAATGCTTTTAAAAAGTTGGAAATATACAGAAAATGAGGACTGATTCCTCAGCATACAGATGTAAATGTAGACAGATCTAGTTTAATAGCTACTTTGGCTCTAGATCAATATCATTAAAATCAGACTTTTAAAGTTGTTTATTTGATGTTTCATGGTTTTCTGTTAGTGGTAAAAAAGATAAGAATCTACCTTACACCTTGATTTACCCAGGATTTGCATTTTTAAAAAAATATTTCAAGAATATAAACCTTAGTCTGGTCTCACTTATTTCTGTATATGCTAGGACATAAAGACTCCATGACAATCGGTAAAGGTTGCACTCAAAATCATCAGGTGCACTCAGGATCAGCCCCCACCTATTTACAAGACCAGACTGCTTTTTTGTAGACTTATATGGTCCCATTTAGATTTTTTTTTTCTTTTTTGTAAAAAAGATCCTTGCTTTTTAGCCACTGGTTATTCTACTTCTCTAGAATAACAGTGATGTGCCCCTTTCAAGATAGGGGAAGCTTGCGTAGATTTAGAGCAAACCCAGTTGCAAATGGTGGAAGAAGACTCAGATTGGATAAAAATGTCCTAGCACAATTAATCTCTTTGATTAAAACCTCTAAACCTAGGGATTAAATGTCTGTTGCACACCAAAAAAACATAATTTTGCTTTTTTTATGTAAACGGGTTTAAAAATTTTCAAATTTCTTTCCTCATGTATTTCATAAAAAACATAAAATTATCAAGCCAGTTAATATATAAACCATCTTGCAGCAGTGAGTTCACATGAGTTAATACTCTTTGTCTGGATGCGCTGTGGGAATGAGCCGACTGACAGCCTGAATTTGGGAGATGCTCTGCCCTACACACATGCGTGGAAGCAGTCATCTGCAAAAAGCAAGAAGCATTCGGGGGAGATACTTTTAACATCTGTCACACCCAACATTAACCATTTCTAGAAACACCTGTGCTGCACACAGGTCATTATCTGAAATTACCAGATCTGCTCACTGTAATGATTCCCATTCTAAGGAAAAATCAATGAAGGAAGTTATCAAGCTTTATGAAACATAGATGTCTTCCAAAATTCCTCCTCATAGAGCAAATAAATATCCAAAGTTGAGAGATAGTGCTGAAAATGTCTTCTATACTCACCTTGCCTTGTCTCTGGTATGTAAAGGAGGCAGTTCTCCCACTGAGAAATTTCTGCCTATGCCTGCTTTCATGGCAGGAGCTCACACTGTTTGCAACATTTGCCTGCCACAGCCCAGGGAACGTGACAAAGTGCTTTTCAGAAGTTCATTTTTTCCCTATTCCCAGTTGTTATTTCCCATTGAAATAATGGCTTCTGGCAAGGTATCCTGGCACGAGCTGACATGAAAGGTGATTTGCAGTCTAATGCCAGCTTCTCAAATCACCTGAAGCCTCATTGCAAATGTCACATAAGCAGAGACAGCTCACACAGATGGGCAGCTGGTGCTGTTTGGACTCCAAAAAATCCTCATCTCTGGCATTTCATGTTAGAATCCTGCTTTGGTTCATTACTTCTATCTTTATTTTTGATAAGGAGGGGTCATACCTAACACTCACACACTCACAAAAGGTGCATTTCCAAGCTGGTAATTAAGGTTTGAGCAATGCAGTCCCTGCTCACGTCAGATGCAACCTTGCAGTTAAAATTCCCCTTTGGCACTGCTTTGAAATTTTAGGGAGAAATGTCGTATTTCCTCAGTATATATGCAGTGTTGACATTCAAGCGTTTTCAGCCACTGCAGGATACTTTAGCAGTGCAGCTCCAGACTCAGACAACGCGCTGTAACTCAGATTTCATTGATTCACTATGCAGCAGGCGCAGCAAGGTTATGGGAAACTTTGCGATGACCATCTGCCTTCCTCTGCAAAAGGTGCACCGAGCGACGGCAACATTTCAAAGGAGGCAACTGAGCAAGCGCGAATAAATCATGTTCTGCCATATCTCCCGCGAAACAGAAGATAAGGGCTGTTTGTTACGCTGATGTACAATAGGGCACCCAGCTCATATGTCAGCAAAATAGAGAGAGAGCTTTCAGGAGAAATCGAGGAAATCACAGATGCCGAATTGCTTTGAGGTTGTTTTGTCTGTCCCTTTCCTTCCAAAGGCAGATTGCTTCCTATCTACAAAAAGGTTTGCCTTTGCTGCTTTTATATGCTTTCATATATGCAAACACGAACCTGCCACCATGGCATTTGGGAAAATGAGGTCCTTTTCTAATACTGCCCACATGCTGGCTTGGCCAAATGCTCCCAGTGAGACAAAGGTCCTCTTGTGCTAGGCAGAGCTGTCACATCAATAGTTACAATTGCTCAGCAAGGAAGACAGAAGAAAGATGGGAAAAATACTGCTTTCATCCCATTTTACAGATGGAAACTGAAGTGTGAGAAAAAGAAGACCTGGCTGCCAAGATGACTTTCAGCATTTCCTAGAGGCCTCCAAGCCAGGGACCTCACTACCTCTTGGTGTCTCATGGGCACTTCAGGGCAGTTATTCATCATGCCAAGTTCTCCCTTGTCCTCCAGGACCACCTTGGTGAAAGGAGACATGAGCAGCTATGCTGCTGAGATAAGTCTAAAGCTTGGGAAACAAAATGTGGCCACAGTGACTTGTATAATTGATGCCTGCAGACAGGTAGGTTTTGACCAAGATCCCTCATTCTGCCTGGTTCCTCAATGGAAAAAATACTTTTTGCTGATAATTAGCTCTTCCTTCCTGGTATATGCCTGCATGATGCTATTTTTAATTTCATAACAATAGTTTCATGTTTCAGACTACAGATCCTTTACACATTTTACCTACATTTATTGCCACTCTCTGATCTTATATACAGAAGAGCAAACTCAAAAAACAGAGTAACAATAGCACTTATTGGTTGTACATCATTTTACACCCATGTATCTACAGAGGATCTCCAACACGAGATGGTAACTGCCTTTATCAAGGTCACTAGCATAGCTGGAGCCTGAATTTCAGATTCCCAGGCTATGTTTATGTGTCTTTTTAATTTTATTTTTTTTAATGTCTAGTAAAAACTTCACAGCGCCTGTTCTCTCAGAGGACAAAAGGGCCATAGTCCATTCTGATGGCAGCTTTTTCTCTCCAGATCTGAGCAGGTTTAAAAATTGCATTAAATATAGATCACTTGCTGGGGCATGTGATTTTTGATCTTAAGTAGGGGCGCAGGAAAAATCTTTGCTTTGATGAATACTATTAAATTGGTTTTGTGTACTTCCTTCTATTTTTCTAGATGCCCCAAAGCAATTTGATAGATTCAGACTCTGAAAAGGAGGAGACAAGAACTAAGTAGTCTCAGAAAAGTAAGAGATGACAGACATCAGTGGCATCATCCACCTTAAACCACAAGGTTTGAGGTATTTTTGAGATGGCATGGCTCCTACCTTCCCCATGCCCCACTCAATGGAGGCTAGGGATGGGGAGAGGTTTAGAAGTCATTTCAGATCCCTGGTAAGGAGGAGAGGAGCCCTTGTACCCTACCTCCAGATCACCTGCATTCAAGTACATTTGCAGAACCTTTGCCAGCAAATTTATCTCTGTTTTTCTTTTTTCTTTAACTGCTACCTCTTATCAACTGGAGTGATGGATAATTAACAAGCTACATTGCAGAAATGCTAGGATAAAGCATGCAATCGTGGTTAAATTCTATTTTGTCTTAAAAGTTTAAAAATATTCAACAGAGGGCAACTGAGAATGTCTGCTGAAATATATTGTGTGATAAACATCCTAATGCGATCAATGCAGTTGTTTCTCTTCGTGAGGACATTCCTG